ATATATATAATTTCATGAGAGTAGGGATTTTGTTTTGTCACTGCTGCACTCTGAAGTTAAAAGAGTAATGGGCATACACATACTCAAATATTTGATGAAAAATGTTGTTTACATAATTACACATAAAACTTCTGTTTAGGAATATATACACATACGCTTCATATACATATGAACAAACCTGAAAACATGCATAGAACTGATACTCACCAAAGGCAGAAGAATGGTGTGATGATTGCTAATTGTGATAGTTGATTTGGTTGGGTTGAGAAAGGTGTGAGAGATTAGGAAAACACACTTCTAAGATGTGTCTGTCTGGGTCACCGGGGCATGACCTTGGAGACTATATCTGGTTCCTGGCCTCGTCTTTGCTGGTCTTCTTCGCTCTGACTCCCAGATGCCATGAGCTCAGCAGCTTTCCTCCTTGTGCTAGTTTACCATGATGTGTCTCACTCAGCCAACTGTGAACTGAAATTAAATGTCAGGTATTTTGCCCCAGCAATGGAAAAGCTGACTAATACAAATGGCTATCTCAGGTGGAAAAGCAGGGGAGGGAAGAAATATGATCATTATATGGCAGTTTTTTTTTATGTTAAGTGACAGTATATGAGTATTTGCTACAGTATTTTCCTTACCTTTTTAAGACACTGAATAGTCAGTGCAGTGCTGTTCAAGAGTATAGACTCAAAAGCCTGACAAACTGGCATAAATTTTGTCTTTTCCATTTAGAAGCTCTGTGATTTGAGACCCCTTTGAGATGCAGTGTCTTCTGTAAATGATAACAGTATCCATCCTTTGAGGATGAATTGAGTGACTACATACATGGAAAGTGATTGGCACATAGACAATGTTGTGTAAGACTCTGTTTTGTGCTTTTACCCTCACATTCAACAGAATATTCTACTCTGAGCAACAAAATAACAACAGTCCCTCTTAGAGCAACCTATTCGTATACCTTAATGAGTACAGAATAGAGGAAAGAGACATATATACATTTGGACTATTGCAAAAACAGACAATGAGGAAAAAATTACATATATACATGTCTCTTTTCTCTATTCTGTATTCATTGGGTATATAATATATAATGTTATGCTACTTACTAGTACTAAGCATTATGGACTGGAGATAACAAATACATAGAACCTATTTTTAAGGAGCTCATATCCTAACAGTGAAGATTGTTAGACACTTATAGAAATTATAGTGCATTGTGAACAGTTTTGCACTAGAAATAGCATAGAGAAGGGAATGACATAATCCAAGAACACCCATACAAACTCTGTACTGTACTTACAGTAAACAATAAATCTTAGTTTCCTCTAGCAGCTTCTTTTCAAAGGTCTGTGCACAGTGAATGCAAAAAAGAGAAAATGAGAAACAATGGCTGGAACATGTTTAAGAATGAATTTTAGTTAGGAATAATAGTAATTAATATGTTTCCTCAAAGGGAGCTTAATATTTATTTTTCAACATTTGAAAACGGAAGTGAACATTCTGATCCAAAGTGAACACTATTACTGTATACATACTCTATTTTGTAAATTAAAATTAGTTCTAGGAACGAATAATATACAAAATGTTCTGCCAACTATGGAGCTATTTTTAGCTTTTCAATATAAACCAAGACATTTGTTTTCCAATGTTTTAAAATCTACTATGTTTCATACAAATAATTATCCTAAAATACACATTTCAAAATATCTTGACTTCTAAAAATGTTGCTGGACTCAAATAATCTTTTTACTAAGACTAAAAGTCCCCTACAGATAATAATGTAGTCTAAAGAAAACAAAGTTGTAGTGTTAATAAACAAAGAAGGCAATGAAGACACAGGTTTATTAGCTAATACATTCATACTCTTCAAAATTGTTATTTTTCAAATCCAAAATAGAGTATATCAAACACAATTACAAATCAATGGCATTTGTCTTTATAGCTCTGGTTTCTAGTAATTGAAGTGCCCTATGCTGAAGGAGTCTGCTTATTGTACCAGTAAACACAGCAGCTTGGAGTCTGGAATGGCATAGTCTAGGGCTGAGGCTATATCCAGAAGCAATGACTTCTATTCCTGAAGATACTTTGCATCTACGTCCATTTGGGAAGTTGTTCTATGATTCAGGAAGTCCTATAGGTATAAGACTTATCCAGAAACAGGATTTCTGGCAAGGAAGCCAAACACATTGGCTAGCAGTGTGGGCTCTAGCCGGACCCCTCATTTAGCATCTTGATGTTGTGTCTTATTTTCTGTGGGACCTTGGAAAATTACTTGAAGTCTCTAAGTCTCGTTTCTTCATGTATGCACTTGGAGGAAAATAATACTTGTCTTTCGGGGTTGTTAACATGATTCAATGAGTTAGTATTTATACAATACTTATACCAATGCCTGAGACAAAGTAAATGTTATTAGTTTCTTTAAAAATAAAGAGATAAGTCAAATAACCAACTAATCAATCAACCAACCAGTGTAATCCCTCTTCTGGCATGACTGATCAAGTAATTACTGAACATAAATAAAATAAGCCAGAGGACATTTTTGAAAAATTCTTCTTCAGGGTATTAATAATCTAATCAGATAGTGATAAATTACTCAGCCTGTATCCGGGTGGAAGAAGAAATTAGGAACTATGGGCCTGAGATCTAAGACTAATTTTGGGCAGGTAGTATTACCATTGTGAAAGAAGCAGCTAAGAGAAGGCTAAGGAACTGGTGAGAACAAAAATCAGTCTGAGAGAGGCCACCCGGGTGGATGGGTGGGTCACGACTCAGCGGGAGCAGCCGGCGGGGAGGCCCGGGTGGGGTGGGGTGGACGTCTCCCCTGCCTGCCTCCCGCCTCCTTCTGCTCACCACCCCCACACACCCCCACCCCAGAGTGGGCGCTGAGCTTTCTGATGCCCCAGACCCTCCAGCCCCCATGCTGAACTCAGACTCAAGACTGCAGCTGGGTATCTACACTGCCCGGGAATCATTCTGTGTGAAGATAGGACAGCCTCCTTGGAAAGCTGACCATACTGGAGTTCCTACTTGGCATGGGCCTTGGGATTGAGGCGGCTCCACTCTCTGCACCGGTCTGAGAGTGCTGCCCGTCATGGGGACAGCCATCTCCCAAGGGGCCCTCATCGCTATGGTCTGCAAGGGCCTCGTAGGCTTCTTACTGCTGCTGCTTTGGGTCATTCCTGTGCTCTCACTCTGCCGATATGGATTCTCCGAATCCAGTCCCAACTCCAGCCCTGGCCCTTGTCCTAAGAAGGTGCCAGGACCCCAGAAGCTTAGCCAAGAAGGCAGCTACCTCCTGCAGCCCTGAAGGCCCCTGTTCTACCCTGGAGCCTGGGACCTAAGTCTACCCCACTCAAAGCCTGGAATCAGGATCCCAGAGTTAAGTCAGCATGGGGTCCAGATCTCAGAGTCCAGCCGACTTGGACCCAGCAACCTAGACTCTAGCAAACCTGGCTCCAAAAGAGGCTTGGGTGGTCCTAGAGAGACAGGCCTGGGGTGGAAGTTCAGGAGTTGGTACTAGGGCCAGGGCTGGACTCTGCTCCATCCCAAGGGCGGAGGGATGGGTTTATCCTTTCCCTAGGCTCAGCACCTCTGGGTCCTCGAGGTCAGAAAAACAACCTGGAAACCATGGCAATAATGGGAGGGTGACTAGGCTGGGGTCCTCCCCGGTCCTCTCACTGTTTGCTGGATAATAAATGGAACTGTGGCTGTTGAAAAAAAAAATCAATCTGGGGCTCAACAATGGTAAAAACATTTCATTACTGTGAGCTTCTTTTCATAAGAATAAAATAGAAATGAATTCGGGTGTGTATTTCTAGGTGTCCTTCAAAGCTCAAAGTGTTCATAGGTGGGATTTGGGGAGGTGAGTGGTAATTGAGTGTTAATAGCTAAATGTGACATTGAGAGGTAAACTGGTGGCAGTGGGTCCCTGGGAGTGTGAGTTGTAAGAGTATACCTTCCTCCCTCCTCCCTTGATTTCTCACTCTCTGCTTCCTCCTTCCATGTGATGAGCTCTTTCTTTACCATGCTGTCCTGCCATGCCACCCTGCCTTGGGGCTAGCCAACTATAGACTGAAACTTCTAAAAACTAGAGCCCAAATAAACCTTTTGTTTTCAGCACTGTGGGTATCAGGTGTTATGTCTCATTGATGAGACATGCCTTCCATGTTCAAGGACGTAAGACCACGTTTGAAATTTTCAGAGAAAAATACAAACTGTAAGAAGTTATATTGATGTATTAGGAAAGAATCAAATGAAATTATGGAATATAAACATGTATTAATAAAAATTAAGAACTTAAAAGAATAACAATTAAATACAACAAAATTAAACTTAATGAATTGGAAAACAGAACAAAAATATCAAAAATTAAGTACAGATGGACAAATCATAGAAAATAAAGCGAGAAATGATGAGACACATAAAGGACAGAAATTGTTTAATATATATTTAAGTTTTAGAAGGAAAGGACAAAGACAGTTGGAAGTGTCTTTTAAAGAAAGTGACTTTTAAAGAAACAATGGCAAAGAATTACCTAAATTGATGAAAACAGAGATTCATAGAATTAATCATTCTAATACAAGCAGCATATAAAAAAAACCCATACTGAATACATCATAATAAAGCTTCAGACAGAGGCAAAGACAAAGCAAAAACTCTTATAGCAGTGAAAGAAAAAAAATATTGCCAGAAAATAAAAAATAATCATATGGACAGCATTTTCAATAACAGTAGCAAAAAACAAAAACATCAATCAAATTATATTCCTTAAATGAAAGAACAAAACTTCTAAACCAAAATTCTATATTCAGTGAAGGTAACTTTTAAGAACAAAAGTGAAAGAAAGACAAAGCCAGAATTAGGGTGAAATGAGCAAAACACTCAATTTGCAAAATTTAAGATGCCCAACCTGTAATGTGTGCAACGCCTGAAAACAAGCCTTCTTCTTCTTCTTGTTCTTTTCTTTTTTTTTTTTTGGTACCGTGTGGTTCGAAGTCGGGTCCTTGTGCTTGGTAAGCAGGTGCAAGAACCACTGAGCTAAATCCCCAGTCCAACAAGCCTTCTTTTTATGTGCACCGCACATGTTCTGTCACTCGCAAACTAATGACATTTTTACAAGAAAAGAAACTAAGAGAGCAAATACACGCTCAAGCTAGAAGAAATTTCTAAAGAATTTTCTTCAGCAGAGAAGAAAATCCTGAATGGAAGGCAGAGATGTAGAAAAGAATGAAGAACAAGGAAGTTTACAGCAATGTAATTTAATCCAATCTTCCCATCACACAGAGAAGATATGGGAATAGTGGATAAAATATTTTAAAAGCTGTCTACTTTAAAGCATCAGAGTGCTGACAGAAAGCAAAAAGTTACAGACATACATTCAGAAGATAAACCTGACATTTCATGCTGCTTAATGTTAAGGGTTTCCGCCAAGTGCTGCTAAGACATTAAGCACCATTTTGACAGCATCATGAAATTAGTAGAACAGAAATTTGAATCTATGGTCCAAAGTTTAATTTCCACTTCCTGAGGCTACTCTATAGTAGGATAAACTGGAAGTAGACTTGACCTCTCTTTGATTAAGGTTCAAGTTAAAATCAACCAAATTTGTAGAATTGGCCCATAGTGATCCCAATTTGCTAGTGTCTTTAATAGCCTCAATTTTAAGATGTTATTTTTTACAGTTTTTTACATATTTTCATATGTTATATTCTATAAACAACCATAAATATACAAACCCACAGAGACAGCACAATTGGAATAAAAACAAGACAAGCAATAAACAAGAAAAACATACCCACAAAAGTAGTTAATAGAATTATCCAACGTAGCCTTCAAAATAAGATCCACAAGATAAAACCAGACAGAATTAGTCAGACACTTGAAAATGTTCAATGGAAAATAAAAATTAATAACTAAAATTTAAGACTTGATCGATGGAATTAATTGCAATTAAAACAAATATGGAGAGAAAAATAGTAAATTAGGTTATCAGATCAGAGGCAAATATTTAGAATAAAGCATGAAGAAATTCATGTATGGAAAATACAAATGCAAAGATAACATAAAAAGGGAATATAGTGAAAATATTGAACATGTGTGTAAATAGAGTCAGTAGAAATAACAGAAAATGAATCAAAAGCAATATCTAGGGAAATTAGCTGACAATCTTTTCAAATTGTTGTCAGAAGACTTCAAACCAAATATTTAAAAGCACAATGAACCTAAAATTAAACAAGTATAATTTATATTTGGTACATCATAGCACAATGATATAGAATAAAGATAAGGAGAAAAATTTTAGAAGCAGACATAGAGCAAAAAAGTACAGATTATTTTCAAAAGATCTTCAGTTTAATTGGCAGCAGTTTTTTCAAATGAATCATAAAAAACTGAAGACAATGAAATGATATCATGAAAGGAATAAATGAAACTGGCTGACAATATAAAATATTCTACCAGAAAAAAATATTTCACTAATATAAGTAAAATTAAATAAGTTTAAAATAAATAAAAACTGAGTAATCTGTTACCAAGAGATCCACACTAATGGAAATACAAGAAATGTTCTCCAAGAGTTTAAAAAATAATCAGAAACTCAAAAGTGCAGAAAAATAAGCGTCCAATGAGAGAGTAGATTCTAGATAAATTGAAATGGATATTGTCTACATGGAACAGTAATAATGAAGTCTTATGATGATTAAAAACTAGTGAAATTGAAATTCATAATAACCACATGAAAATTCAGGTGGAATTAATTGTTCTAAAGCCCTCGCACTCTTTAGGAAAACACCAAAAGTGTCAAGGTTTTATAAGTCAAGGATGCATATTGCAATAACTTACATCATCATTAAGAATAGTGAAAGTTGCTGCCTGCCTAGCAAGTGCAAGGACCGGAGTTTGATCCCTGGTACCCCCGCCAAAAAAAGAATAGTGAAAGTTACCACCACTAAGTGGAGAAACGGGAAGAGAGCCAAATTGAAAGTAAAGAGCTAGATGATTAAACCCAGCATCCATTCAAGAGAAAGAAACTACATAGTATTTTGAACAAGTAAGTTTTAATATAAAGAATAAGTACAAAAGAAGAGAATGTCTATGTAAGGGTAAAGAGAATTATAAAGAATGCAGGAAGAGTAGAGAAAGGGAGTAGAACAACCACCCATCGCAGAGCAAACCTAGCAGCTGTTTCTCTTAGTGTTGAAATGCAGACCTTATTGGAGAGGTTGTGATCTTGCCCAGAGGATAGCAGAAAATGCTGAGGTGCCCCAACAACGAAACTCACTGAAGTCTCCCTTTCGGCGCCAGGAAGCTGCGCATGGGAAGTGAGACATGCATTTGACTTCTGCATCCTCCTTCCTTGTGCCCTCTGCTGATGTAACCTATAATCCTGCTAGCCATCAAAGAAGAGAAACTGCAATGTCAAAGGTGGATTTAAGATACAGAGGCAATAGACTGATAAGTGATATGAACTCATGATTCTGTAATCACAATTAAATGTAAACAAGCCAATGATCCAATTAAAAAGATGTTTAGAAAATTACAAGCAGGTAATGCTTATTTTTTAAAAATCCACACAGATCTAAGAGATGAGGACATGGAAGATTTGAAAAAAATATGTAAAATGATAAGCCAAACAATAATCTAACAATTGGTGGTTTTACCATATTAATGCATAGTAGATATTGAGACAAAAATATTCTAGAAATAAACAATGTATTTCATTATAATGAATTCTATTCATAAACAACATATAACACATTTGAAGTTGTATGTATCTAATAACTTAGTTTCAAAAGGTCTGAATAAAACGATGCAATTACAAAATCCATAATCATATTAAGAAATATAAAATTTATGTTCAGTAGCTTCATAAATAAACAGATAAAAACCAGAAGGGATGAAAAAATGATAATGGTACAAGTAAAGAAAGTGGCTATTTAGCTCAGTGGTTCCACCCCCTGCTTTGCAAGCACAAGGTCTCAGAGTTCAATCCTGGTACCAAAAACAAAACAAAAAACCCACAAACAGAAAGTGGCTATTTTAAGAGAGAGGGACAAGTTGTCTTTGGGCAGAGATAGTGGGGATTTCTTGGATGATGGCCCTGTCTGTCTTTCTGTCTGTCTGTCTCTATCTCTTTCTGTCTATCTGAGAAGTGAATTATGTTTATTTTTTAACAATTCATTCAGCTGAACTTATATTATTTTTGGATTTTTCTAAAGTTTCTTATATTTCATAACAAAACAGTTTCAAATACAAAAGTACATAATTGTAACATGGTGAAATAATCCTACTATGAGTGAAATGTTGTGC